TGGTGTTTGTTTTTCCATTCTTGAGATATTTTACTTAGGATAATGGTCTCCAATTCCATCCAAATTGCTACAAAGACATTAATTCATTCTTTTTTATGGCTAAGTAGTACTCCATGATATACACATACCAGAGCTCTGAGTTTTACGGACTGCAAAGATTGCGCTAACTAAACAAGGCAATATTTAATAAGGTTGTTGCTGGTAGCATTGAGATCCAAAAAGCCATGAGCTATTCCAGAAGATGAGCAAAGGTGACAGGAAACTCAGAAGTGGTAGAAGAGAGGGGGAAATATCAACAGGTCCAGGCAGGCCAGCACTATGCATTAGGGAGGTCTCACCCCTACAACTGGAGTTTGACCTGGACTCATTCCCAGTTCAAGGACAAGATGGGATCATTGATAGATTGTGAGAATAGGACACAGGACCAGGATAAACCCCATTCCTTAATAAAGTCCATGTATATACCATAGTGAACAGGGATGAAAGAAAAAAGAGTGGACCACGTGGTCAGAATAGCACAACCACAGTGTCAGGAGAAGCAGAGGTCAAACCATGGGAACATAGGAATTTTTCACTTTGCATTGATGAGCACTCAGCAGACAATGTCAAGGGCCAATGTTTAGCCCCCAGGTACTGTTTCTGAATAGGCTAACAGGGAGAATATTTAGTGCTAAGAAACATCTGTTTCAAGAGGTAGCCAAGTCTTGAGGCTGCATAAAAATATCTCCACCTCAAAAAAAGGATTGGCCTTGGAATAGGGCCAGTCCTAGGTTGATTGTCAAAAAATTTTCATGTATATAATAGAAAAAGTGTTTCTAAATTTTAGAAAATTTAAAAATTTATTTTTAAAAATTTTCACTCAAATATTTTTCTCTTTTCTAAAGCAGAACAAAACAATGCAAAAACTTACTTAGAAACCTTTCAGATCCCCAGATTTAATTTTACAAATGACCAGAGTCAAAAACTTTAAAATCTTCCAATGAGTTCCTAGAAGCAACTTCAAATTTCTTTAACCTCAGAAAATGAAAAATATAAGACTACTGTTTGAAACTTGCTATATTTCACTAAGACAGTACAGTGACCTATGCAATGAATAGCTCCTTCAACCCAGAGTAATGAGTAGTTGAGTTATAAGATGAAATTATATCAGTAAATTAGAAAGTCATTTCCTTTTACAATTCTGACTGTTTTGCTTTATAACAAGAAATTATAATGTACTAAACCTTAATTTTACTTGTTTGTTCCATCTTTTAGAAAAGATAATTGCTTAAAAATGTAAATTACTTTTATTTTTGAGAGCTAGACTTTTCAAAGGCAGATATCCAACATGCCTTGATATAAGCTTGATGAGCTGATAAGTTGCTTGGCTATCAATACTAATATTTGTGTGATTATGGGTCTTGATGTGAATGTGCTACTTTTTTATAGCTTGAAATAATCATTTTTCTAAATTTATTTTAATTTTTCCTAGGATAAATGCTGGAGTTACATAGTCTTTGAGTGCTTTTTCCATAAGCCAGTCTTGCATTCTTTAAGATTCCCAATAACACATCATGCATTTTCTCCTATCAGGTCAACTGTCTGCCTCCTTGCCACCTCCACCTCCAGAAAGGCCAGAGGTTACAGTGGAGTTGATTGAGTCCAGGCTTTTCTGTAGGTGTGCTTTTGATGTGGCCCCTACAAACAACCCCGTGGGATTTCTCATAGCTTGGTCTAGGCTTTCTTCTCAAGAAATCAAAGAGGAGCTGAAACAAGAGACCACAGTTCAGGCATTCTCTCTTTTAGAACTTGATGGCATAAATCTCAGACTTGGAGATAGGGTATGTTCAAAAACATTTGTATTTTCTTTTGTTTTCATGAATGTATTGATTTTCAAACATAATTTTTTTTATTATATCCTAAAAGTAGATTTTGTCCCCAGGATATAAAACACTAATGTTTTTCTTGTCTTTTCCTTGGCACTTGTGCTAATTCTAATGATAACTGGATGAGTTAGTAATCTTAGTGGCTATTTATGCATATCTCATTTTAGCAATTTGCTGATTATTATTGATGAATTTTTATAAATAAATGTTTCTTTTGGGTTTTAAAGTGATATATTTTATCCTATAAAAATAGTTTAATTTTTTAATGATGATGATTTTATCCTCCTTTAGATTCCTCTTGAATACAAAGCCTGCTACATTTTATGTTGAGGTTGAATAAGTAATATTTTATAATGATGAAATTTTTCTCAAATTTCAAGCAAATTTTTAAGTTATTTAGTTCTTGTATTATCTCATGCACTATTAAAAGTTAAAATTAAGAATTTAAAGACAATAATTTACACATATGTTCTCCAAAATTTTATTGCTGAATGATTATTTGATAACTGTACTCACAGATATTCTGTAGTGCTTCCGTCTTTTTTTTGGAGAAACCGCATATACAAAGTTTAGCCACCGAAAGCCGAGAATTTTTTGCAGGCATTAAGGTAAGTGGCAGTGGGGATGGATCAGAAAGATAATTCCTCTGGAATTGTGTTTCCCATCACAGGCCTCATCACAGACTAACTTAGAATGTTGAGACCCAGGGGTTTCTATTTTTGAAGAATAACCCTAATAATTCTAATGCACAATGAAATTTGAGCATCCCTGTTAATGAACTGAAGCTGGGATATACTTGCATTTCTTTATTAAAATAAAGCAAAAGCTTTTTTCCCATAATTTATTCCATCATGTTACTAAAAGTTAGCATGTCAATATTTAGCCAGCATGTATTTTGAAAGACAGGTACCAGGACAAGTAATAGAGCCTCTGACTGGAGTAGAAGTGACGTAGAGCTCTGAGGGATTTTTTAAGATTATTTTTTAATTTCAAAATATTAAGGAGGAACAAACGTTTTTGTTACAGGGATAGCTTTCATAATGCTTTAGTCAGGGCTATAAGTGTACCCATCACCCAAATATCTTTCACTGTATTTGTTAGCTAGGTTTTTATCCCTCCCCTTCTCCCCCCTCTTCCCCTCTTGATTTTCGATGATTTTTACTTCTTTCTGTGACCATGTGTGCCCATCAGTTAGTTCCAAATTATTACAGAGTACATATGGTGTTTGTTTTTCCATTCTTGAGATATTTTACTTAGGATAATGGTCTCCAATTCCATCCAAATTGCTACAAAGACATTAATTCATTCTTTTTTATGGCTAAGTAGTACTCCATGATATACACATACCAGAGCTCTGAGTTTTACGGACTGCAAAGATTGCGCTAACTAAACAAGGCAATATTTAATAAGGTTGTTGCTGGTAGCATTGAGATCCAAAAAGCCATGAGCTATTCCAGAAGATGAGCAAAGGTGACAGGAAACTCAGAAGTGGTAGAAGAGAGGGGGAAATATCAACAGGTCCAGGCAGGCCAGCACTATGCATTAGGGAGGTCTCACCCCTACAACTGGAGTTTGACCTGGACTCATTCCCAGTTCAAGGACAAGATGGGATCATTGATAGATTGTGAGAATAGGACACAGGACCAGGATAAACCCCATTCCTTAATAAAGTCCATGTATATACCATAGTGAACAGGGATGAAAGAAAAAAGAGTGGACCACGTGGTCAGAATAGCACAACCACAGTGTCAGGAGAAGCAGAGGTCAAACCATGGGAACATAGGAATTTTTCACTTTGCATTGATGAGCACTCAGCAGACAATGTCAAGGGCCAATGTTTAGCCCCCAGGTACTGTTTCTGAATAGGCTAACAGGGAGAATATTTAGTGCTAAGAAACATCTGTTTCAAGAGGTAGCCAAGTCTTGAGGCTGCATAAAAATATCTCCACCTCAAAAAAAGGATTGGCCTTGGAATAGGGCCAGTCCTAGGTTG